CCCCAAAACCCCAAAACCCCAAAACCCCAAAACCCCAGGAATCTGAACAAAAATTGAAATTTCTGCTTTTGAAATACGATTAGAGGCAAGTAAATTGATCTTATTTTACATAACTTAAGGGACAATTTTTTATAGATTTAAATGCGAGTTTTGAAAATACAGTACTATTTACATCTTTCGCACCTTATATCATTCAAATTTGAAAGTTTTTGGTTAAAATTTCCCGCTGAACACTCCTAATATCACCTCAAAATCACTTTGTTTCCTTCTCCCCACATAACTTCAATCATAGTTGTTTACTTAGTAAACAGGGCATTTTTTAAATTATGAATTTTCGAAGGAACTGAGAATTCAATCGAAGATGATTTATTCCCTTCTGCAGACTCTTCAATACTATACTCACAGATCTGGTCCTTTAAAACAGATTGTCTTTCTTCCAGCTCGTTCCTATCATGTTTAATCTTATATCTCTCTGAAATAGTTAACATAAAACTCAAGGAGCATATTTAGCAGGTGGAGCTATGGTACATCTGGTGCGGGAAGTTGGAAGAAGCCAGTGCAGCTCGAGCCGCAAGATTTACACTAGATCGCACATCTCTTTTATAAAATTGCATGTATATTGTGAGAAACACGGTTGATAACAACCGTTTGTGAAATGGCACCAAGATGAGATTTGCAATACACGTAATTCAACTATTAATCTGTTATATTTAGACCAGTATTCTGTTTTCTAAACCCTAACTTTTGTGTATTCTGAAAGATATAAACAGCTTCAGTACAAAGTGTTACATTTACAGAAATTTTAATAAAACTTTCAGAAATTTAGGCAGTCTTCTTTAAACTTTTTGTTAATTTCTTGGGAGTATATCTAGATTTTTTGCTCAAGAAATCAGAATTTATGTTACCTAATTCTTATTTTGAGGGTTCTTATGGACTTTAGTCTCTCATTAAAATTCAGCCTCTCAAACCCAAATGAGTAAAAAACACTACCCATTTTATTAGACACAGCAAGAGCCATTATGCTATTATCACTAATATTATATCCTTAATCAACAATCATAACAAGCCGGCACATAAATTTGGTCTAAAGCTTTACACTCTCTTATCGTTATTATCCAGTAGCTAATTAATCCCAAAAACCACCACATCATAAAATTGAAGTCTATAAATGGGTTTCAGTACAGAAAGAGTATGCCAAGATGCACAATCAGCTTCCTTATACAGAGACTATACAAGTGGTATAGCTTCAATATGGCAGCTGGACCAGACTACTGTGGCATATAAGCTAACCGGCTTATATACCTACCAGGGGAACCGCCTGGTACTGGTCGAGTTAGCACAGATCATTCGACCAGTACCCAGGGTTAGAATCCGGGATTAGCTGGATATTTTTAGAATATTTTTGATAACCAAAACATATTGGAAGTAGTAAGAAAGAGTATTCAATTGTGGAAAGATGTATACCCAACTCAAGAAAGTTCCTGCTGTAATTTGCAGAGATACTTGGGTGTTCTAAATTTAGCTCTTAAAAATATCTCAAAATTTTGCACCCGCGATAAGAAGGCTGGTTAGCAGTCTTTGAGCGAGATGTTTAAACGTAGCCATTGTTTTAGTTTTTAATACATCTAAAATAGCAAAGAAATTAGTTTATATGAATTAATGGGTCATAATATTTTTAAGTAATTACTTTGTCTTCTTCCAAATTTATAAAAGCAAAATAACAATATGGAAACTAATAAGAATAACAAGTTTAAGCTATCTTAATTGGTGAAGACATCTCAAAGACGATATATACTGCAAGCTCAAGATGAACAGCAGAGCTAAGGTCAAGAAGACCAGAGGAAGATATCGGCCAAGAAGGAGGGACAGGCCTTTGAGGATAAATGCTTCCTCCGGTCTTTCCACTAACTCAGCAGAACTTGACCGGAGGAAAAATTTATCAGATGGCCAAAATGGAGCTGGGGCTCAGAATGAGCTCCATTTCTACAAGAGCAAATTTTTAGCCCCAGCTCCGTTCTTCCTCTGGATTTTCCCAAAATCCAGCCCCACACCTTCATCCCTTTCCACTCCCTTCTCCCCCATTTTTAAATATTAACCTATTTTTTATATTCATTTTTAATTTTTATTCAATATTTATAGTAAGCTTTGGGGTTTTGGGGTTTTGGGGTTTTGGGG